CACGCGGCTAACACAGCCGACCCGAGATGATTCCTCCCCCGCCCCTCGGAGAGACCGGAAAGCTACCAAGAATATCTCGCCCACATGGCAAAGCCTGGCAAGCTAACCCTGATGTATTTGATATGCCAAACACAGTAACAAATCTCACAATGTTACTGGGCCCACTTAAGCAAATTGATGAACAATGGGAGGACAGTGACAGTGACAGTGATACTCCACAAATGAGTGCAGTCCTTCTATGTCTGTCCCTCTCTTTCTGACTCATTTCATTCAGCATGATACTCTCTATGTCTAGCCATTTATAAGCAAATTTCATAACTTCATCTCTCCTAACAGCTGCATAGTATTCCATTGTGTAGATGTACCAAAGTTTCTTTAACCAGTCATCTGTTCTAGGACACTTTGGTTGTTTCCAGATATTGGCTATTGTGAACAGGGCTGCAATGAAAATATAGGTACAGATGTCATTTCTACTGTGCTTTTTTGCATCCTCGGGATATATTCCCAGAAGTGGTATTACAGGGTCACATGGAAGTTCAATTTCTAGTTTTTGAAGGACTGTCCATATTGTTTTCCAGAAATGCTGGACTAGTGGGCATTCCCACCAACAGTGAGAGTGTCCCTTTTTTCCCACATCCAATGCCAGCACTGGTTACTTTTATTCTTTTGAATGTGTGCCAGTCTCTGTGGTATGAGATGATATCTCATTGTTGTCCTGATTTGAATCTCCCTGATGACTTGCGATGTGGACCATTTTTTCATGTGCCTTTCGGTCATTTGTATTTCTTTTTTGAGAAAACTTCTATTCATTTCTTCTCCCCATTTTTTGATGGGGTTGAAGATTTTTTTCTTGTACAATTCTACTAGTGTCTTGTATATCCTGGATATTAATCCCTTATCATATGGGTATTGGTATTGGGGATTTCCTATAAAGGATCATTCTTAAGATTCACAGCCGACTTATCTGATGAAACCCTCACTGTCCAAAAACAGTGGTGGGATATAGTGAAAAAACTCAACAAAATTAATGCCTCACCAAAAATACTTTACCCAACATAAATGGCTTTTTGAAAAAGGTAAAAAGTTCAAATATTGTACTGGAACATAAATACAAACCAGAGAGCAACCGAGCCATACAGGGAAATGGGAAGTTTTGCATCAAGAGAAGGAAGCCAAATGCCATATATAACCATTGAGGAGTGACCCAGACCATGGATTTCACCCTGTGATCAAGTAGAGGAAACCAATAAAGTCACCAGACAGCTTTATGAAACCTACCCCTCCTCCACAAATGCCCAACACAAAGATTTTAATACAATCAAACAAGCACCCTACCCACTGTACCATCACTCGCACTCCAATTTTCCCTGTGTAAAATATATTATCACAAAATATGTGTAAAATATATTATCACAAAATATGTGTAAAATATATTATCACAAAATTTAAAACTTTTTATTTATTATAGGAAGACATGATGTTTACCACAATAAGATTCAAGTACCAAAAAATGCAATATATTTGAGCTACCACAGTTGAAAATTTATGTAAATGAGATAAGCACTATATTAAATTAAATGATTTTAATTTCTTTATATGTTAAAATCATATAGTAGTCAATCATTATAAATTAAGTTTTGTAGATTTTTTCTAATATTTCCATTTGCTGATTCTTTAAGTTTTGTAGGAGCAGCAATATGAAATAGATTTGTAATATGCCTCCCAAGAGGGTCAGGAGGAGGTGTGTGGGAGCCTGGGAACATTAGTAGAAGAAAGGAGACACTGGTAGTAGGATTGGTGATGGAACATTGTATACCTGAAATAACTCTATTACGAACAATTTTGTAAATCATAGTGTCTTAATAAAAATTATTTTTAAATGTATTCATGTCAGAGGGCAGAAAAATAGTACAAGAATTAAGGTTCATGCTTCACATATGGAAACCCAATTCAATCCCCAGCACCATATGATTCTCCAGGCATCACCAGGTACATGCTTGGAAGCCCCCAAACACTGCAGGGGTAACACACCAGGCCACCCACAAGACCTAGACAGCCCCATGTCCTCGGACCCTCACACTGAGTCACTTCTGATTGACCAAGAGATGTCCCTGGTCCTCATGAGCTCGGTAGGCCCTAATTAATTAATTGATTTAAATTGTGTTCTTTAACTCAGCAGACACGGAGAAGATAAAAGACAGCAATCTGATATTCATTTTTGTCAAACAAATCCTGAAAATGAGTCATGTACTTTAATGAAGTTACCTCAGGCTTCTCAAGATCCTTTACCCAATGGTTCAGCCCTTCCTGCCCCTTCTATCCCTGATAGCAACGTGAAACATCAGAGCAGAAAGGCCTCTAACATACTCCAAGAACACACCCAGGACAGTCTCTCTGTGCACGAGGAGCCCCACGCCACAGTCCTGCCCCAACTACACTAAAAGGTGAAATGTTTCACATCAAGCCAAGTCCATTGTTTGGTTCCATTCAAATTATTTAAAAATAAATCAATCTTTATTGAAATCTCTCAAGGAGATAGCAATGAGTTGATTATATTCAATACTCTGAAATAATTTGTAAACTCTCTATGTTCTCTTCCTCTCAAAGTACCTTGGCTTTAATTAGTGTTCTCTCCTCTGCCACCACAATTCACCCAGAATCTCTGTAATTAAAATCTAGAACACACTCCACTTAACTACATTCCTCCTCTGGTCCTCATCTCCTACCCACCCATTATTTTTCCCTGATTTTCTCCCCACACTTTTGGTGGTAACAAATTTCCCTTGTTACAAATTTGGTCACTGCTCTGGATGCCTCTTTTTTTACAGTCTTCATACATATATTTAACTGACTGACCTGAATCAGTTCAGACAGTAAAATAAAGAATTTTCCTAAAGTTGGAGAAAGAGAGAGAGAAACAGAAAGACAGAGACCAAGACAGAGGAAGATTTTGAAAATGTTCTATATAGGGACTGGAGTGATAGCACAGCAGGTAGGGCATTTGCAGTGCACACGGCCGATCAGCGTTTGATTCCCAGCATCCCATATGGTCCCCCGAGCACCGCCAGGGGTAATTCCTGAGTGTCGAGCCAGGAGTAACCCCTGTACATCGCCAGTGTGACTCAAAAAGAAAAAAAAATGTTCCATATATTCCCATCACAAATATACATACACGTAGAATTTGGCAAATGATTTCAGATCTTTTGTAATAAGCAAAACCTATATGAAAGGCCTGTAGCCTCAAGCTCCCCAACAGGTTGTGAACCCAAAATTCAGAACACAGAACCTAAGTTGCATTAATTCTTAGCAACTTAGAGGAATCAACCCAACTTGCATGGGCAACCAGTCCACAAAGAAGCAGAGGATCAATATTGCAGAGGATCGGGGGGGGGGGGGGGGGGGGGGAGGGAATAAAGAAAATCTAAACTGATGATAAAGTGGTTCAATTTTCAGTCTAAATAAGATTCAGAATCCATAAGTAATCAATTAACAAGACCTAAATCCTGAGCAGGCAAACAGGATTTCTGAAATCAGCAGACCTGAGCAACATAGATACCCTGCTGCAGTGTCCGCTGCACTGACACTGCCCCACCCCCAGGAAGCAACTCTACAAGGAGCTTTCCAAGGGGGCTGCTCACCCGAACTACCTGCAGTAGACAAGGATCAGAGGAGGCAGATCTGTGTCCCCAAGGACAGTCCATGCAATCTTCAGATGGAGGCTACAAAAATGACAGGGACAACAGAGACACCATCCCCTTCCTGTCATGGGGTCCTTGGGTACAGAAGGGGAAGGGATGAGGCTGGGGAGGAGCCACAGGACACTCAGAGCACCTACATGGGTACAGATGGGCATTTCTCCAGGCTGAAAGGGAACACAGATTGCTCAGTCAAATCAGCCTGCCAAATCCAGAATCTGGCCCAGCACTTGCTCTGTTCTCAGTCACAATATCTCTGATCTCTGCTGACAGAAGGGGGCACAATGGAGAGAGGGGAGCTCCTGCCCTATACACCCAACAGGGTGCTGAGTCCCACTGCTGTCCCTCTGCTTCTGTGTGACTTGGCAGTCACTTAGCTGCTCAGTCTCAAAATCCTGAAAAATGCCTTTTCTATCTTCACTCATTTTTCCCACTGAGGGTTATAAATTATACTACATATTCAAATATTTTAAAGAACATAATATAAATTATTCGATAGCTCATTTAAAATGTTGCTATTATACCATTTTTCTTTAGCAAAAATCGTTGAGAAATAACTTGAATGGGGAATAATTAAGGACAGGGAAGAACACCTTATTGGAGATCTCTGGGACAGAATAGTCTTTCTCAGTCTTTCTTAGATAAAACAACACTATTCTGGTGGACCAGAGAAAAAGGGCAGGGTTAAGGTGTTTGAAGCTGCCTCTGGGTGAACCCTGGCAAATGAGATCCTGAGCACCACCAGGAGCAGCCCCTCAACACTGCAGGTATAGCCCAAACCTCACCTGAACCTCCAAAAAAATCACTATTCAGAATGTGAAGATAAATTCTAGCACATTCCCACCTGCTTAGCCTAGTTACCATGGCCCAAAAACTGTAGGATCACAGCATCTTTAGGCACTGGAAGGAACAGGCTTCCCCTAAGTAGTGTTTTGGGGACAGGGGCAGGAGTCACATGCCTAAACTCAAAGTTCCCATTTAGTTTTCTGGCTCCTACAATGCTTTTAGAGCAGCTTCTTCTGTTTCTAGATGCAGAGTAAGAAATAGATGCCCTGAGGAATAGCAATGTACGGAAAGGGACCACAGATGAAAGAGACTACAGAGATCTCTGTGTCAGGCAGGTCACCAAGTACAGGGTGGGACAGCAGCCCAGGTCTGGGAAAGCATGTGGGTCAGGTGGGGCTCTCCGCAGCTTCTGCTTCAGTTCAGGGAAGGGGAAGCCATTCCTGCCCCAGCACACACAGGCAGAGAAACACCTGGGCACAGGTAGGACAGAAGACACAGGACACCTGAGGCGTCACTCACCAGCCAAGTACTCAGCCTTCCTCTGATCTGAAAGACAAAAGAAACGGGTGAGCTCAGAACCACGAGGCCCACAACCGAGGGGACCCAGGGAGTTGAAGAAAGGGAAAACTCAAGAGATTTTTCCAGATCCTGCACAAGGCTGAGTGATGAAGGGCAACCAGGAGAGAGGAGGGGAGGGCAGATAAGCTCCACACCCACCCAAAAAGAGACCTGGCAGCCAAAACCATCCACACTCCACAATCACCACCATGTTCCTGGCCCTACTCCTCAGACAAGACTCATCCAGAAATTTATCCACAGAAAAACTCAGTTTTGTGACTGAAATCTCCAGGTTTTCATGGAGTCAAGGATAAGCTACGTTCCCCATATCCCTGGACTTACAGAAGACCCAACAGTCACACCTGCACACCAACGCAATTTGTGAAAAATTTTACTCTAGTTGTACACCCTGTTAAAAGCTTTGGACTTCCTGGAGCACGCATTCACATCCATAGCTATGCAACAACTAAACTCTACACACTGATAAACCAGGAGAAGCACAAGAAATTGTATGGGTTGTAACGTAGAAGGCAAGCAATCTCAATTGACAAAATATAAACACAGAAGGTTTAATCTGTAACAACGTGTTAGTAATCTCTTTTACAAGGGTTTAATTGCTCCACAGTGAGGTAAAACAAACTTCACTAACTTTCTTTTAAGGAAATATTTTTGATCATTCTTTTAGAAAATTAGTTATAACAAACAATATTAAATAAATTATTTAGCACCTGCTATCGGAGCAGGCCTAAGAGATGGTTGGTAAAATTAGAAATAATGGTGGTGGGAAGGAGTAATGGTGGTGGGATTCATGTTGGAATATTGAATGCAACAAATCATCATGAAAAACTCTGTAAACCACAGTGTTTATATAAAGTGTGAATAAATAAAAAGTTTTCTTTTAAATAAAAGAAAACTCACCTAAATTTGTCTGCAGTTCATCTGAAAGAAAATGAAAGATAAAAGCATGAATTCCCATACCTAAGGAATGGAAAGACCGTGGACCAGCAGAATGGATCCAAAAAAAGATATCTATATCTTTATTTTATTTATTTTTATTAAAGTATCATGATTTACAAAAGTATTCATAGCTGAGTTTTAGACATACAATGTTCTAACACTGATCCCACCATCATTGTCAACATTCCTCCACTAATGTTTCCAGTTTCCTCCCATACCTCCCACCCCAGCCTGTCATCTTGACAAGTACATGTTTAAGTTCAGTTGTTAAAGTTATGGTCTCATGATTTGGGTGTTGCTGATTCTGTGGCTTGAATATTTAGCTCTCTCATTCCTTAACAAGACCAATATACTGAATCTCCTTAACCCCTAGACCCCGTTGCTTCTCACTGTGTCTTCTCCTCCCCTCCTCTCTATTTCTTCTCCCCATACTCTGGACATAAAGGTAATCTTGAAATTCTATAATAAACCTTTGCATTCTCTCATCCAGTAATTCTAACTACCACATGTAAGTGATGTCATCCTTTGTTTATCCTTTTTCTTCTCTGTCTTACTTCATTTAACATGGTATCTTTCAGTTCCACACATTACCAAAAATTGCATTATTTCATAATTGCTTACTTCTGCATAGTATTCCATTAGAATATGTATATATATATATATATATATGTATATATATATATATACCAAACCTTCATGTTCCATTAATCTGTTGTTGGACATCTAGGTTAATTCCAAATCTTAGCTTTTGTATTTAGTGCTAAAATGAATAATGGTGCGCATATGTCCTTTTGAATGAAAATTTTTCTGTTCCGGGTATAAATACCCAAAAGCGGAATTGCAGCTCAATTTTAAGTTTCCTGAGACCCCTCTAAACTGTTTTCCATAGGGTTTGAACCAGACAATATTCACACCAGCAGTGAGAGTTCCTTTTTTACCACATCCCTGATAACTCAAACTTACCCTTTTTTTTTTTTTTTTGCTTTTTGGTTCACACCCAGCAATGCTCAGGGGATATTCCAGGCTCTGCACTCAGGAATTACTCCTGGCGATGACCCATTATTTTTTATATGTGCCATTCTCACTGTTGTAATATGATATCTTTTGTCATCTTAATTTGAATTTCTCTAATATTAAGAAACGATGAGCATTTGTTTTTCATGTGTTTCTTGACCATTCGATGGTCTTCCTCAGAGAAGTCTGTTCATTTCAACTACCCATTTTCTGATGGGGCTTTTAGATTGTTTTGGTTTGGTTTGGGTTGCTCTTTGTAAATACTATTTATATCTTGGATAGCAACGTTGGATATCTGAAGTGTTGAGTGCAAATAGTTTCTCTCACTCAGCTGTCTTTTAGTTTTAGCTCATGTTCTTTGTGCCATAATAAAACTTTTTAGTTTAATATAGTCCCATTTGTTTGTTCTGATTTTATTCTGATTCTATAGTTTTTGCCAATGACATCATAGCATTAAAGCCTCCTTTGAGGTCTATATCTTGGAATTTTTTGCCTATAGTTTCTTCAATGTACTTTATAGATTCAGATATGATCTTAAGTCTTTGATTCACTCTGAGTTGACTTTTGTGTAAGGCTTAAGATATGAGCCTTAACTTTAATTTCTTACATGTGGTTATCCTATTCTCCCCCAACATCATTTGTTTCAAAGCCTGTCTTTGTTCCATTTCATGTTCTCAAATTCATTGTAAAAAATCAACTGATCATATATATGGGTACTTTTCCATGAATACTCTACTCTTACCCATTGCTCAGAGAGTCCCTCATTATTCCAGTACTACACTCTTATGATCACTATGACTTTATAGTATAGCTTTAATGTAAGTAATGAGATGCCTCCCAGTCTCCTATTTTTCAGTGTGGATTTAGCTATCCGAAGAGCCTCTGTACCCTAAAGTCTCACACCCATCCAGGCCTCCAAAGTTCTCTGGGGACTCCTGGGCATCCTGCTCTGAGCATCTGGAGCTGGAGCCCCAGACTCTGCCCCACAGTCCTTGGGCAGTGACTGGCACTCTCCTGGCCTGGTACTGTCCTGACTTACCTATAGCCTTCAGTGCCGCCCTCTTTGCTTGCTCATCCTCCTCCCACTCCTGGCACAGCTTCTCTCCTTGCTGCCTCTCCTGCACCTTTATAGAATGTTCTCTCCAGGTGTAATAGGCAGCACCAAGGACCAGGAACGTTAGCAAGGTCACACACAACACACAGACCAGCTTTCACGGAGAGGACTTGGGGAAGAAGGGCTCTGTGACCCCCAGGAGACCCCATGAGGGCACAGCAGGAGAGCCCAGCCCAGCAACCCCAGGAATTCCCGCCCCCTACCTCCAGCTCCCCCACCCACATAGGAGAGGGCAGCAAAGCCCACCTGGGCTGAAAACGGCCATGGCCTTCTCCTGGTCCATGATGGGGTTGAGGATGGAGCATGTCATGTTCCCCACGGCGCTGTCTCTCACCACCAGCACCGCCTCCACGCTGAACAACCCCTCAGGGTCCTGGGTGTGGGTCTCTGAGAAGGCCAGAGACTTCCCCCCGCTGGAGTCTCGCCACTGCACCTGAGGCTTGGGGAACCAGCCGGCCGCCCTGCACACCACGTGAACCCGTCCTCCTCGGGCCCTGTGATGTGCACCTGGGGGCCAGAATTCACACCTGCAGGGGAGAGGGAGGGCCCGGAAGGCCTGTTTTGAGCATGCACACAAGCCCTGGAGCCAGGCTGCATCTGTGCTGTGTGGGAGGCCACATCCTTCCCCCCACATTCTGGGGACAGCATCTGCCCTGACTAGGGGCTAAGGGAACACCGAGGCAGGAGAACTCCTGAGATGTGCAGGGAAAAGGACCAAGGACTAAAGAGAACAGGAAGAGGAATTTCCTCAGGATTCCGTCCTCATTCTCCATTTTCCTCACATATCTTCCATAGCATCTTGTTCCACCCCATTATCCAGATTCCTCTCAAACACTTCTCATTCAAAATTCTAGAACTGGACCAAGAATATAGCTCAAAGGATTGGATCTCATGCATAGCATGTAGTTGGTCGAAGGTTCAATCTAGATACCACATGCCTCTACAGCACCGCCTGGCCCTAAAGAACCCACAGCAGCTTTAGGAACTCTGTGGGAACTCTCAGTTCTATGGCACATTGTTCTATGCCACATAGCACTGCCATAAGTGCCATGGAACACCAAGGCAGGAGTAGCCCCATCTCATGAGTCAGCTCCATCTATAACATATTAGAAAAACACCCCCAGTTCTCAGTCCTCTTTGTATCCTGTTTTACTCTGCCTCAGATATAATGGTGCCTACACTCATTGCCTCTGGTATCAGTCACGAATGGACCACTGAGAGAACCTCTGCATGCTTTGGCTGTGGGTGAGTGTCTGTGCCTTTCCTCTGCCCTGTGATACCTTAAGAACAGTCAGGACTGACCAGCTCTCCTAGTTCAGCCAAAACAAACCCAGCTCAGGCCTTTCTGATGGCCTTTCCATCTGTCTATAAGATTCAATAAGACTAGCTTTGTAAAAGTTGAAAATTTATTCTGTCTTTACCATCTCCTAGTAGATTATGATTGTATAAAATTCTGGTTCATAATTATTTAATTATAAAAGTGTTTTCTTTATTCACTATTTGAAGAGACTATCTAGAGAGGGAGATTATGTTTTCAATTAGATATTCCCAACATAGCCAATGTTGTGTGAGGAAAACCCAGTTAATATTAGCCAGGGGCCAGGGTGATAGCACAGTGGGTAGGGTGTTTGCTTTGCACAGGACCAACCAGGGTTTGATCCCCAGCATCCAATATGATCCACCAGTGTATCCCTAGGAGTAACCTGGGTGTCACATATATATGTATAATTATATATGTGTGTATATATATAGATAATTAGCCAAATTCAGATTTGCTGAATTTCATTAAAAACCTGAATTAAATAAATGATTGTTGCTCTATGTCAATGAAATTTCACAATGTGTTATTCAGAATTAGTACAGTAATCGATGTAACATAGGATTGTCAATATTCTTAACAAACAGACAAGGAAAAACTCTGGGAGTCTTTGTAGTCCTCTGTCCCCCTTTATACCTCCTAAATTGAATAAATATATTCACTCAGTTCTTCTTTTTAAATATCACTCCTGCCATTCTCCATTGTCTCCCTATGATCACTGTGAGAGGTCGGGCAACATCCTATCCACCCCATAACTGAACTGCATGCCCTCAGTCTTGCTTGCCCAACCATTGATCCATAATCCTCACAATTGCCCAGGGGAATAAAGCCACCTCTGTATCCAAATTCTAACACAATCTTCACTACTCCACCAAAACCATTCCAACTCTCTACTTGCCCTCAACATCCACCACCTACACCCCTATAAGCCCACACCAACCTCACGTTGATTGGACTCACTACTAGTAACCACAGTGCCCATGCTCTATGTGCCCCTGCTGGTTCATGTCCTGTACATTATCCTCAAAACTTGTCTATTGAACTCAGGTGACTGTTCAAGCAAACATCCAAAAGCTTTTCTAAATGCCAGAGGCAGCAAAAGTCAACTCTTCTTGGGTTCCACTTAACAGGAACGTCTTTTAACTCTTACAACCCTAATGACCTCCTTGTGTGCCCAAACTCTCTGAGTGCTCCCCTGCTCATATTCGCATCACCCACATATCTGCTTGATAAATCCCTATTTCATTCTTTTTTGCTTAGATTATCAAAGGATCAAACTGAGCCTAGTATAACACCAAAGACTACCCTACCCATCTACCCCAACTAATCCCCTTCTACTACTCTACCTGCTCATTTTCTAAAAGGTTACTACCTATTAATCTTATCTCAAATGATGTGTTGTCTTATTTATTTGTTTCCACTTGAATACAAAACTTACAAGTGCATATTGCCATGGACAATGGCTTATACCAGATATTCATAGCATGGTCTGGCATGCAGGAGTTCTGTATTTGGATGAAATAAAGGAATGAGTTTCTTTGTCTATAAAATAAGAGACTAATTGCCCTGGTCCCTTAGATTTCATTCAACATCCACCTTCAAGGATTCTAGAAAAGAGATAAAGTCACCTACCTTCCACCTTCAGCTCCAAACCAGCTTCTTTAGAGAAGCCTTCCTTCCTGAAGTAGCAGATATACCTTCCAGCATCTGAAATCTGGACCTTGTGAATGTGCATGTTACACTGCCCCTGGGAAAGGAGATCTGTCTCCAGGGAGGTCCGCCCTGTGTATTGGGCCAGCTGCTCCTCCGTCTCCTCCCCGTGATTTTGGTAGATGTATACAGCTTCTGATTGCTTAGAGCGGAACCACCTCAACTCCATGTTCTCTGCATTCATAGCCGGGAACAGACGACAGGGCAGTTTGATGTTATCTCCCACCACAGCAATAATAGGGTCCAAGGGTCCAATCACCATGAACTCCTCTGTGGAAACAGACATGGGAGTGAAAGGCTGGAGAGCTGTACACCCAGGGCAGAAGACACCTCCAGAGAGTAGGAGCCAGGAGAATTGGAGCAGATCATTATGAGAAGACCCCAGGCTAGGGGACTGAGTAATCATGGCTCTGAATCCTAATAAGGTCTTCTTTCTGCTCTTTGTGACCCAGGAATGATGACAAAGAGAGTCCCACATAAGTCACCTTCCCACCGGAGCCTTTATAACAGGGCTCCATGGGTCAGAGATCCAGTGAGTCTCAGTCTTCCACCTGAATCAAAGCACCACGAAGGCAAGCAAACAAAATACTTGGTCCCAAACCCCAATGGAATCAGTAAATCTGAGTATGACCAAGTGTGCAATGAAGAAAGTAATTCTGGCTTGCAGAGTGCACACATTGCAGAGAACCACAGCTATAATCTGGCCAACTAGGACAGAATGAAAACTGGAGCTGAGGAAATGGCTCAAAGGTCTCAACCACATGCCTTATATGTAGGAAACCTGGTTTAATCCCAAACTCCATAGGGTCCCCCAAAGGACTATATACAACGGCTCCTGAGCATTTCATGTATTACAAAAGAAAAAAAGTGGGGGTGGAATAGTGGGAAAGAAAAAGTGTCAGGGTTAAGGTGTGCTCACCTTGCATGTGGCTGACTCTGGTTTGATCCCTGACACCCTGTACAGTTCTCCAAGCACTGCCAGGAGTGATCCTTGAGTCAGGAGTAAACCGTGAGCACCACTGGATGTGAATCAAAAAATAAACACATAGTAAGAGGAATAAAAAGATATAAATAAAACTGAGCAGAGGACACACCTGCAGTCAGTGTGAGTTCCCTAACCTCACAGCAGGAACGTCCCACTCCCACCCCTAAGTTGGTCATTTGTGTTCATACATTTCTCCTCTGTAGAATTATATCTACTGAACACTAGAGCTAATTGAGTGGTGGGAAAACTCAAAATAATGGTGGATGGAAGGTGTAATAGTGGTGGGATTAGTGTTGAAATATTGAGTGTAATCAATTACTGTGAACAACTCTTTGAAAATAAAATTTAAAAAAAACTAAAGCTAAATATCATCATTAAACACCTGACTCACAGGAGCCCAAACACTGCTTGTTAAGCAAGGAGGGTCTCCCAACCTGTTGCCTCTTCTGAGCCTCTTGGCCTTCTGAGGCCTGGAATGACTCTGCAGGAGCAGCCTGCCTCTATCTGGGTCTCTCCTTTCCCCATCCTCCTGCCTGAAGCCCTTTCATCTGAGCTAACCATGTCCTTCCTCCACTGGAAGTCTTGTGATGGCTTTACAGTTCCCACATGGCCCACGGAACCCATTGCAGTGAACACCCAGACTCCAGGCACCATCCAGCTTCTGTCCCTCTGCTCACTCTGCCCCAGTCACTTTTCTTAGATACCAGGACAGCTTTTCACAGACTGTTCCCTTTGTTGAAGCCCATTTTTGAAGTAGACCCTCATAGGCTCTGCTTTGCACGTCATGCAAATCTTTGCTCCCATCTCACTATCGACAGCAGAGGTTTCCAAATTTATTCAGCTTACCACATCTTTTCAGAAAATAATTAATTACACAAAACCCTGAAAAATTGACCTTTTAGTCAAAGGTCAGAAAGTTGTGTTCCAGACTCGTATCAGCCCCTGAAAAGTTCCAGGGTCCAGGGGGCGGTACTCCACCCCTTTGGAAAACACTGACCCTCACTGCCAGCCTTACTCAACACAGCCGCCTCCACACACCCCTGCCCAGCCTGCTCCTATGGATGGACCGCAGTACCTTCCCCTCCGCAGTCCCCAGCTGCGGATTGGATTGCTCTTTTGCCCTTTTATTCACAGCATCTGTAAATTAAGAAATGAAAGATTGACCATAACTTCACACATAAACAAGGCTGGAAAACAAAAGAAGGGAAAACTATTTTTTGACAGTTGGCTTTTTTTTAATTTATTTTATTTTTTTCAAATACCCACCCTCCACCAGTGCTCATTTCCCACCACCACAGATCCCAGTATCCCTCCCACCCACCCCCCAACCCCTCATCCCACCCTACCTCTGTGGCAGGGCATTCCCCTTTGTTCTCTCTCTCCTTTTGGGTGTTGTGGTTTGCAGAAGAGTTAAGCCTGATTTTCAGGGAGAAATGTTGGATGATTTACTTTCCATTGATCGCTTTGTATATAAGGAGATGTAGCGCAGCTGCGTAAGTGGCCGCACGGTTCGGAAAAAATGTCCTGGTACCTGCTTGCCAGAGCTATGCTTGTAGGAGCTCATGGTCACCAGGGTTCCATATGAAGAAGGTGGGACGGCAGCACCTACCCCATCTGGGACCTCCCGGTGGTATCGGCTCTGTTTGGGACCTGGAGCATTCTCCCGGAGCTGTGGGGCCCTCCAGTCGGTTTTCTTCTTTGTTGCTGTGTGGCGACAGTTGGCTTTTAAACATAAATGTCTCACTGGACAATTGTCAGGCACATTCCCCTTACTATATGATTTACTGACTCCTCTGAGATACCCAAGTGGATACAGTGGCTGGGAGTGCAGAGTAATATCTAGAGCCAAGGACACTGCACATGATCAGGAGCTCAGGACCCAGCGAGGAGAGACATGGACGCACAGCACAGATTCACCTATGGACCCCATGGTGGGCAGCTGCAGGAAAAGCAGGAAGGCCAGCGGGCAGAGCATGGAGCAGGGGGAGCAATGCTTCATCTCCTTGGGGCTGGGAAAAGACAGAGGGAGGAAACAGCCAGGACCAACAGGCAAGGCAGGGCCCCCAGAACTGTGGGCCTCTGTAGGAGAGCAGGGCTCAGGCTGGACACCCGCATAGGAAAGAGCATCTCCTCCTGGCTCCCCTGTGAGGGCAGGGAACCCCACACAGCCTGATGTCAGTTCAGGCCCCTACCAGCCCTCTGAGATCACCCCACTGCAGAAACAAATGGTCAGCTTGAGAAAATGCTCCCTTCCCATGCTTTCCCTTCCCTTCATTCCCTTTCCTTCCCCCCCCTTCCTATCCTTTCCTTTTTCTTCTCTTCCTGTCCCTTCCTCCCTAGCAGCATACTCAGTGCACTCCACTCTACCCAGGACTTGTCAGTACTTGGGCCCCAGGAGGAAACCATCCTCCATCTCTCCATTGTCACACACCATCTGTGACTCAGGACAAGAACCCAGACAGGTCCTCACCATGAGGGACAGACCAGCTCCAGTTAGTGGCTCTCACACCCCTAATGTGAGAAACCTCAGCACAGACAACACCGTCCTCACAGCGAAGCTCCTTTTAGCTTGTTCCGCTCACCTGCATTTCAGTCCCACCCCTGACCCTGCTGTGAAGGACCCAGGACATGACCCTGAATCCACTGGAGCTGCAAGGTCACACTCAGCTGACACATGATTCCTTTTCCTTCTGCCTTTTGTATGCAATCTGGGAGCAGACGAGACTCCCCAGAAGGATAGCTTTTGGGGGCTGAGAGCTGAGTGTCCTGGACTCCCCCACTCTCTGTGGTCGACATAACAGATTTCCTGCCTCGTTTTCTCACCCACAAAGTGGGAATAGTGACAGCATCTCCTTCCCAAAATGACCTGACATTTGTAGACTCACTGCATTTACCAAGATCAGTGCTTACACAGAATAGGACACTAATACCACAGTACAGGTGACAGTGAAATAAAGAAAAACTCTGAATGTCTCAGTCCTGGTCCTTTTTCCTGTCACACCTTTATAGAGCCACATGACCAGTCCCCAAAACCCTACATTCTCTGCCCCCATATCATAGCCAGATGCTCACCACTTAACTCCTCAAGACAAATGTCTTTTGAAGACAAATGTCCTCAAAGCCAACATACATGCTTCAAAGACTCTTCAGGAGCATTTTGAAATGCAGAAGTTTGGGAAGGTTCAGGAACAACAACCCCCAAATCTGCCATAGGCTTTCCACCTGCACTCAGCTGCTCAGAGCCCCAAACCTGCTTCTGGCCCCAAGGTGGTTGTGCGGGGGCCCCTCATGTGTCAGAGGCAGGAGGCTCCCAAGCAGGCGAAGCAGAACCTGGTACAGGTTTCTGGGTGTTCGTAGAGATCCAGGACAAGCACTGCCAAAATTATTCCTGGACAGTCAAGTCCACGGTGTTCTGACTCCTTCCTCGGTTTAATAGTAAAAGCAATAAAATGCATTCACAGGGAACTCTGACCTGCCCTGTGGACAGGGCATCTGGCTATCAGAGAGGAAAGATCAGGACCAAGGAACCGAGGAGGGTGACCCAAGTACTTTTAAACAACGCTTCAAGGTCAGACAGACATACATACATTTGGTGAACAGCCACTACACTCCAAATTGGTTTGCTCCCAGACCTCAGCATGAGGAACTGTGTGGCCCAGACAACGCTGATGCTTCCCTAGGCAGAGCTGTATCTGTACCACAGACTCAGGACCAAAATGACCTCCTGCAGGTGACACAGAGCACACTACCTGCCTGTCTGCACAGTAGTTGCTCCTATTTTTCTCATAACAGGTGGCGCAGGAGTCCTCACAACCAGGCTGCATGCAAGGAGGTTAACCAGAGTTTCAATTTTTTTTTTTCTGTAATAGATTTTTAAAAATTTTTTTATTTGAATGAATCACTATGAGATACAGTTACAGACTTTAAAACTTTCGTAATTGCATTTCAGTCAAACAATGTTCTAGTAACTAGGGTTTCAAATAGGCCCCCAACCACTCATTTCACCTGGCACAGCAGAGTCTTCTCAAGGGAGTCCCACCTGCTCCATACCCTCCTCGTCAGGTTTATTCTCCTCCCAAGCCCATGGCCTTCTCTAGTCACCTTAGATGTATTCTCTTGCTCGTTTCTTTGAGAGATTACCCTGCTCAATAACTTCTAGGGCTCCTGCCTGGCCGCTCCCCATTGCTCTCCCAAATGATTCCTCCTAATATCCACCAGCACATGCTCAGCAGAATTTTGGCTCCCTGTTCTCCACCACAGTCCTGAGGTGTGTTCACGTGAGGAGTATCTGTGGAATCCACTTGAGGAGGCACTTGTTAGTCCTGCTCATGGAATAGCACTTGCTAATCACTTCACAAAGACTCCCTCACACTGGCTGCTCAGTCCTGTTCAAAATCAGGAAATAATATTGTCTATCAAAAAACAACTTGGCCTAAATAAGTCAGACTCTGGGTGGGTGGACACAGTGATGCACCATCTTCTGTTTTTCTCACTACCCCCAATTCAGTATATGATCAAAGAGCTGCATACGCAATTGGCCACAAGGTGGCAGCGGGCTTGAAGTAACCTGGAGAGACCCGCATGGCCCCTTCCACCCACCCAGCCCCTCTTTCTGGCTGACCCTCCACAGGTGGTGCAGGTTAACTCTGCTAATCTCTCTGGGACCTGCTACTTTGGGAGTATTTCAGGTGTGGGGAGCTGACAGCTGGGTCCCACTGATAGTCACCATTCTCCTTACAGGGAATTTTTGCTTTTCTCCTTCCCATGGTCTGTAGGTCACACACATCTGAAGTTGAGAATCACACTCAGAGATGTGGCAGCAGCACACCCACAATCTCAGGTAACAAGGCAGGGCTCAACAAAGTCACATGAGCCAACATGAGAATATTTGAGCATACACTAGCAACTATCAACAAGTGTTGTACACATTAGAACATAAATACAAATACTGCATTAAAAGAGACAAGACTAAAGCTTTTGTAGAAGAAGTTTTAATATGTTTTCTTTTTTAATGGTGAGGGGTGGGTCACATCCGGTGGTGCTCAGGGATTACTCCTGACTCTGCACGCAGGGGTCCCTTCTGGCGGTGCTCAGACCGTATGGGATGCCCATGATCAAATCTGGGGTTGGCCACATGTGTAAGGCCACCCCCCCACCTGCTGTACTATGGCTTCAACCCAGAAGTTATGTTTTCTGCCTCCCCTTTGCTCCTCAATTTTTGGAATCCCCCTGAGGCTTCTATCCTAATCTACTGTGCCCCATTAGAGCTTAGCTGAGTTGGGAGGGGCCCAGCTCCCTGGGTGCTGTCCACACAGCCACTTGGCCCAGGCAGGTCTCCCCTTGCTGAGCTTCTGTTTCTTAGCTGTCAGGTGGGAAGGTAAGACTCCCCTCAAGGAGTATAGAAAAATTCATGTAATGCTCAAAGTGAAATGGTCCAGAGTTATCAGAGGACTCAAATCCCTCCAAGGGATCCCTGGAACCTTAATGACCTGGCCTGCATGGTGGTAGAAGAGTGAGCAAATTCCTCCAAGCCATTGACTGAGTCAGCGACATGGTCAGCACTGCTACTAGCTCTTTCCTCATTGAGTGCTTGTGTGGTTACTAAGGGTCCTGCCTGAGAGATTCTGAGTAGTTGTGTCTGCATGTGTTATGTCCTATAAGTAATATGGCAGGAACCCAAGGGACCAGCCCTACATATTCCCCGGTCATCTGTCCATTGTCCCTCACCCCTTCTCTCTCTCTCCATTATTCCCTTCCTTCTTTTAATTTCCTTCTTTTTATTTCACTTTCTCTCTAATTAGAGAAAGTATTGGGGGCAGGGGAGTGTCCTCCCAAGCAGTGCTCAAAAGACGGTTGTCCCTCCCAGAAACTCTTGGCCAACCAGACAAGCAGTTCAATTGAAAGTGCTGCTCAGGTCATTTGATACTGGAGTTGCCTGGTCATCCTGGATGCCTGTGGGGGAACCATACAATGTGGGAGATGAACTGGGCTTGGCTACAGGCAAGGAAAGTGCCTAAAACTCTGTACTATTGACGGCCATGGCCCCAGAAGCACAAGAACTTAACACAGAAAACCAGCCGTTTGGAGCAGAAAAGCGAATGGACTATGTGTTATACCGCGCCAGCATGCCTGCCTGGAGGGAAAAGGGTGTTGCCCCATTCACCCTCTCCTCTCTGGAAAGAAATATGGCAGCTGCACAGGAGCCTTGTGGACAACAGGTTTGAGCCGGGGGTGGGGGCAGCAGGGACCTCATGGGAAGGGGGGTGTTCCAGGCCGTCCTTCACGCCCTACCGAGGTCACCAGTTGCCCCCCACGAGCGGCTCTCTGACACGGCCACGACTCCAGAGCACAGAGACCAATCTCTTAACTATCTAAGTTTTAATAGAAATACTTCCAGGGTTAATAAGTAAAATAGCAGAAATCCAAAACCGCGCGGCCGCTATTGCGGCCGCGCAACATCATTTAATTCTTAAAACCCAGCTATAGAAAGCAAACCATTTCACAACACTTTTTCAGCATGTCTGATTTGGGGGGGGGGGTGTCGTAAACTCTAAATAATAATGGTGCATCTTTTATCGAAACAATGAATCTATTCAAAGTAGATAGAGTGTTAACTAGAACTCATCTGCCTCACAGGAATTGGGAGGGGTGGGAGGTGGGGTTCTATTGGGGTTCGCGGTTAAAAATAAGTATTGGTAAAGGGAAATGTGTTTGATATTTACATGACTGAGACCTAAACCTGAAAGCTCTGTAACTTTTCCCACAGTGATTCAATAAATAAATTATTAAAAAATAAAATAAAATAAAACTCTGTACTATTGGTCTGGCTCCTAAATCTTGAAACATTTTATGAGGGTCTTTTGCTCAGGTCCTATCCCTTTACATATCATGTTGGGTCTCCTCACTTCCTCTGGAATCCTGAGAAGCACGGTGCAACACCTACTCAGGAGGTGCAGGGACAAGGGTCACGAGGTTGGAAAGGGGCTCTCAGACAATGTC